GTATGACTTCGGTGGCAGTTTTATTTAAAGCACTCACCCACAGAGGGTGAAAACTTTCGTCCTTTACACCTATCAAGAAGTGATACACTCAACACATACCTCAAACAGAACCTTCCATATATCACCCTGTTTTGCATACCACAAAAGCTTCCTCTTTGAACTAGTACACATACAGGAACTTGAGCGAAGACATGCCTGATTCTTAAATGTTTTTATTTCTCTTAAGAAGAGAGAGAATTTTTTAAAACACACATAGTAGTACATATACACAACCCCTACAAGTTTTGTTATATTAATTCCATGCCTCCCTGAAATCAGTATAAAAACATTCCCATAACTTCAAACTAATACTTTGTATGACATGGTATGGTACATTAAAATTATGGCTAAGAGTTTGGCAATGAGGCAAAGAACAGAACTGCAAGTCATTGTGACTAGGATTTTGCTGTCTATTTCTGCTTTTGGGAGTAAGGTGGATACTGCAGTCTTTAAGCCAAATTCTGTTTTCTGACCATAGCATGTTTCATTCAAAGCACTTCACAAGAGGAAAAATAAACACAGTAAAGGCAGCATAATGTAAACATATCATTTAATAATGCTAACAGCATTGGCAGCATAATGCTAACAGTCATTTAAAAAAAAATATTGTGGCTTTACTGAATTATAAAAGAAGTCATACAGCAGGAGGGAGAGATGCATCATTAAATGAAACATTCTTAACAGCTTTAATAGAAAAACAGCTTTCCCTTTGTTTTGATGTAGTGAATCAGTGACTTATTACCAGTAGATGACTTTGCTTTTCTTTGGCAAACTGATAAGATTTTCCTGTTACTACCAGGGATTACAACTAATCTGGATTTTCTGCATTTGCTTCCTTGTTCGTGCAGCAGCAAGTCTGGTAGAGGATGGTGTTTATTTGTTACCTACCTACTGCAAGTACCTTTATTTCAATTAAAGAAATGACACACAACAGGAAATAAAAAATGAGAAAGTTTTGCTGAAGCTGGAAGCTTAAACACATTTATTTACACTTAAGTTTTTCAAACTTGTGTGGCTTTCTGACCTCTCAGCTCATCTGTTTGTGTCCACAGCTACCCCCATTTGCCCTCTACACATCACACAATGTAATATTGTGTAGAAATAAACTGCATCTGTTAATGCATCATGTTGACCCTACATAAATTTTGCAATTAAAAATCCACATATTCTACAATACTGAAACAGGAAGATGAAGAACTCCAGCTTTTCACAAACGTTGTGCTTTAACAATCCGCGTAACAATCTAGTGGGGTGATAAGGTGGGCGTTTCTCGCTTACACCTCACAACACGCATCAGTCCTTTCCGAAGATGAAATACACTTCTATGCCAAAGCCCGACAAAGCACTCGAGCCCACAGTCACTAGCAGTCCACCTCCCGTCTACCAGAATAGATGGGTCTCGTGCCAATTACCATACAAAAGAGTAAAATGATAGAAAGTGGCTTGAAAACCAAAGAGTTCTAGAGAACAGCTGTAACCATAAAGCAGGATGGCAGGCAGCTCTGCCTTTTCATCGTTTAAGGTATGTTCCTTTAGACAATGCTGACTAGATTGCTACAGAGCTCTGGTCCTCACAGCCTATTTTTGGTGCTGTATCCTATTGACTTTTCCTTCTGAGTCTGTAGATTCTTTTTGCTACCGTCTGGTAACAACAGCGTCTGTACAGAATTCCCACTCGCTTCAGCAGGGAATTCTGCTTTAAAAATCAATTGCTGTGATAAAGTCCCAAGTTTAAGAGCTATCATCTCCTGCCGCTGCTTCAGCAACATTTGGGGTCAGTGAAGTCAGCAAGTCTGGCTGAGTGAGGGCTAAGTGAGTTTGAACTTAAAGAAGTTATGTTTTCCAATTTACTCAAAAAGAAAACACACAAATGAAAAAAGCTGTTTCACAGCTGTTGCCTGGACTGCCACTATCATGGTCTGCAAGGCTACAGGAATCCCAACGATTCATAGTGCTTAGGACTAAAAACTGCCAGACCACTTCAAGTGGTTGTTACAGAAGATGAACAAGTTATTTTGCCATTTTCTTGTAAGGAAACAACCAGACGAATCAAATTTCAGTAAGAGAACAGCCCTTACTCAAAGCAAGAGGTATTTTGATAGAAGTGGGTAAGGAACAGACAGTCTCCCATAATATTATTAGCCTTTATTTTTCTGCAGTAGCATGATTAAGAGAGAGCTTTCAGTGGAACAGACCCTACCTAACAACATAATGTTAATATGTTAACAAATTTAAAGAAAAACTGCAAATGTTTTTAGGTGAGTCTATTGAAAGACAATGCATGCTTATGTACATGACCTGAACTTCTATTTCATTTTTTTTCAAAATGGAAAGACAATTCTTAAGTATTTACTGTTGTTTACACATATACTGAAAATCTACAGACTTTTGCTTGAAAAGTTAACAAACTATACATCCTTACTGTTATTAGTAAGGCTCCTCTTTTTTTTTTTTTAAATCATCCCCATAGTGCATTTATTACAATACCATCAGCCTAAATAAAGCAAAGCAGAACAGGGGAGAGGGAGAAGGAAGACAAACTTTACAAGCAGGGCCATTTTTTCTTAATTTCTGAGTTTAAGTCACCAGCCTAATTATATTCTCATCTACTCATTTTCCATGTGTAACTTTCTAGAACACAGTGCAGGTGTACTAATAGTATTAACAGTAGAAATAAATTAGGCCAAGAAAATTTTAAGTTTTTCTGATGTGTTTGTTTTGGTGGGTGAAACAGAAAGACAGGGATTTGGCAAGAAGAAAAGACACGTCAGCAAGGGAAAGAAGGAAGGAGTCTCAGTAGAAAATAGGGAGGAGGGTGCGAGAGACAGAAAGTGAGTAATACCGGCGTCTAGTATAGTCCAGATCAAATGTTTCAAGTTGAAGAGACTGGTTTTCTACTGCTTGACCACTGGTAAAACTGGAAACACGTTTATCTGAATTTTAACAGAGGTGCACACGCACTTTTTAAACCTTATAGAAACAAGGTCACAAAGATGACTAGCTTGATCTTGAAAATACTGCATCATGAAGCCTACGTTATTTATACAGAACACTTTTTAGGGAATGTTACGCTTGCGGTGAAATCTTGGCCAAGAGCAGCAGACACGGTGTCATCACCCAGGACAGGCGCACACCTGCAAGCCCAGCACCAAGGCACAGCTGTGGCAGGATGTCCAGCACCACACGCGGCCTGATTCTGGCCCTCGCTGTCACTGGCTGCTACGCAACCCGGCCGGTTCATAGGGAGCCACAAACCATACATGCACAACCCCAGGACACCTGACTGACGCATCCCAGAGACTACAGGCACGCAGCCTGAAGAGCAGAGGCCTGCTGTGAACGAGGGGGCATACAGCACCACCTGAACGGGAGGGCCACGTCCATGTCCCACAGCACCTGCGTGACGCATTGGGCCAAAGCTTGGAAGTTTTAAATGAAGACTTAAAACCAAAACCAAACCAAAACTTCTGTGCATGCTCCCATTGCTAACAAATGAGGGGGTTTTGTTAAATTAATTTTCTAGACTGGCAGCATCAGCCAGTACATGAGCCATACCCTGAATTCCAGACAAATTATTTCTAGGACTCTCACTTGCTGACACAGCTCCAGACCAATTAAAGCTCTGCCATCCCCTAACACCTGAGTTACCACTTTCTTTCAACTCCCTCATTTGCCACACAGGCAAATCCTTTACTTTACATGCTGCTGAATATCTAGGCAGCACACCACCACAGAAAGGGAACTCAACTCCTCTAACCACGCACCTGGAAATCGGACATGGACACAAAAGCCGGAGTGGGAGGTTTGCTTTGCTTGTACCTGTTTTTTTGACAAGAGAGAGGCCTTCTCCCCGCTGCAATCATCACCGCTGCTGAAGGCCTACGGGCTTTAGGCGGTCCCACAGGTGTCAGGCGGACCTGACAGCGATGCCCGGCGAGGCTCACCCTCCTCAGCTCCCGGGACGTGAGGGAGCAGCCTCCGCCGCCGGGCTTTGCAGAAAAGCCCCCCGCCCCCGCGGGCGGCCCGGCGCCCCCTCCAATGAGAGACCGCGGATGGAGGCGGGAGACAGCAACGGCGGGAAAGCAGGGCGGCCGCCTCGGGCCCCCTCCCAGCGCCCGGGGGGA